TCTGACGTGACATGTTCGTACGAACCCTTCATACGAACAAAAGTAAGAGAAATTTAGGATAAGAATACGAACATGTTCTTGCATGAGGCCCAGTGTGAGCAAAAAGGGCAAAAAGTCACATTTTGGGCATAACAAGCAACAGTATATTTTTAAAACATGGGAAAAATAAGTTGCAATGTTAAATATATTTTTTACAAAACATATCCTTTGTCATTTCCTCTAATCATCGTTACACGCAAAAAAAAAAAGAAAAACGGCTCAACAAAAATGTGTAAAATCTTTTCATACAATTAGGACTTTTTTTTCCAAGATGGGAACTAGATTGTTTGAGTTAAAGAAACTTCATATTTCTTCAATATGTATTGTAGGATTAATGAAAATATTTTTACTACAGGGGCGTCAATAAGTGGAAGGGCCAGGGGGGGCAATGGCCACCTCGCTAAAGTTTCTGGTTCCCCAATGGGCCCCTTTTATGCCACATAAGGCATTTTTGTATCGTAAGTCTTGGTTCCGCCTGACCCGGTACCAGTCGGCCCGGTCTTATTCTACCCCGACCTTTGTTGTGTTTGCATTGAGCAGAGAGCTGCCTCGATGTGGGTGGGATCCTAATATTAAACATGCACAAATCTTATTTTGTTTTATTTGCGACCCAACAATAATGGACTACACCAAAAGTGAAGAAAAAGTACAGAAGAATGAACCGGATGATCCAGCAGCATGACACTGAAGACATGAAGGCAGCATGACAGAAGACAGTAAGCTAATGGTAGCTAACGTTAGCTTCTGGTTGTGTGGACAACAAAAACATTACAGTGGCAGCACAAAGCTCACATAAAGTTAATCTCATCTRTGTGATGTAACGCCCCAGTCAGAGAACCAATCRATGAGCAACAGTAGCTGATGTCAGATCGGATTAGGCAGGTCGACCCCCGACAGAACCAGGGTTCTGAGTGTTCCAGAAATGGCGGTGGAAGTGGGTCATGAGATCTAATGCAAACATGCTGAACCMGCGTTTGATGCCAGGCCAGGCTGGGCCTTGAAAAAAGGCTTACAGTCTTATCCTCTGGAGTCATGACCTTTTGTTGAATGTGGATTATTATTTTAGCCTATTCTATTCTGGATTCTAGTGCCTCATAAACATAGAAGCATTGTTTTTGAACAATTAGCAACTTCAAATATGATTTATTTATTTATTTATTTATTTATTTATTTAAAAACATTTCTTAAAAACCAGTCTGCCTGGATAAGGACAATAAGTCAAACATATTTTTTATTTCCATTCAACAAGTTATTTTTAGATGTTAAATTTATATTTAAACAAGAATAATCCCATTATTTAACTCATTACTGTCCAGCTTTTAMAAAGACAACTAGAAGGTTTGTTGTCAGACAGTTCTTCTCACTTGTTCCTCAGGGTTCCATTCTAGGTTCATCATTTTTATTCATTTTTCATCTTTCATAATTTTACATCTGTTCWTTTATATCCCTAAAGTGTGTTTTTTATTTGGTTATTTACATGTACGAGGCTTTTGTCAAAACTTCTCATTTCTTGTGCTTATTCAAAATTTTTACTTCAAATTAAATTCAGCGAGCCAATGAAAAGCTACAGTTCAGATGAGGTTAAGGAGATGAAAACAGGATGAACTTTAGGCGATGACATACTTGGTGTGACCACGTCCTCCACTCCGGTGTAGGAGGCAAACACCTGACCCATAAACTGCTGCTGCTGCTCCCTGTAATTGTTCTGCAGATAATCCGTCAGCATCACATACCCAGCCTGCTCCATGGTCATCACCTCACAAAACACTTCCAGCTGGCGAGACAGACAGAGAAAACAGAAGAGGATGTCAGGTTAAAGAAAAAGAAACATCTTCAGTACCTTCCTTGCCTCTCTTCTGTTTGCCAAAATAAACCAAAAAGCTGATGCTTGTAACGGCATGTTTTTAAGAGGCTTGTGTTGGTGCCAGGCTGAGGCAGAGGCAGAGGGTGATGCTCTATTTTTGTAGCATGAATATGTTTGTGTCATGCTTTGCCATCCTGCTTCAATCAGGCAAACAAGCAACAAATACACACTAAAATCCACACACTAAGCAGGCCTTATTTGCTCTCTTTTCATCTGCTTTAAAATTAATGGTTGCTACACAGACTCCCACAGGCTCTTAAACGTCTTTATAGTTGGGAATCCAGTGTTCCTCTGTCAGCTTGTGTTGCTGTTTTTAACCAGATCCTCACAACAAAATCAGATTCTGTGAGCGCACGATGACTGAGCCTGTCATTTCCCACCACTTCAGTGAAACTTCCTCTTCTCAACATTTGTCTTTCACAGCTTCTGCACACACAACAGCTGGTTTGAATCAGCCACAAATAAAATCACAAACACAGGTAGCAGGGAGGCTGAGATCCCATCCTTCCATATATCAGTAGATCAAGAGCTTTTCCTTTCGACTCAACTCCTCCTTTATGACAACAGACCAGAACAAAATGCTTCTTAGCCTGGATCTGTTGCGCGCTCTCTCTCTCTWGCTCCACCATACAATCACTCCTGAACAAGACTCCCTTGCTTGAGGCAGTGGCTAAACTGAAAGGAAAGCTACAATAAAAGKTCCCATAAGACCGGACCTGGTCAAACCTAAAGCTAGCCAGTGTGAGAGTGGTCCAGTAAACTCCGTTATCTGTGGACCCTATGAGCAGCGTTACTAAGGCTTTGTTTTTCAGCTTTTTTCTACATTTTTGAGAGCTATGGCTTCATCAAAGGCTGCACTGCATTACAGAGACACAATAGATAGTTTGTCATTAAAAAGTCACAAAGGAAAGATTTGCTGTTATTGAGATACGAGGAGGGTAAAAGCTGAAGGTGTGGGGTGTTGGACCCGCTACCGATAGTCACACATACCGACAGAGTAAATTATTTCATTCACTCATTCATTTAAAACAGTGCCAACACGATGAATAAACTACAATCCTTAATGTCTTTGGATACTTTCAACCAAAGTAATTGTGGAAGATGCAAGGACATAAAATCTCTACAGTCAAATTAGCATGAATGTAAATTTAAATTGATTCAAACATTTCCACAAGAACAGAAATGTGCATTTAGATTAAATCAGACCGTGTTCAGTCCAAATCTCAGTTCTGAATGATTGACTGTTGGGATGAATTTTCTTGTTTTTTAGAAACATTTGAAATTCCTTTATCAAACTGGAATGAACCGGTCTGGGAAATGGAGTGTAAAGCGACTTGTTTGAATTTAAAGAGACAGCCTCAAAACRAGTTAATCTGAGACACACCTCAGAAAAGGGGCGGGGCTTGTGGAGTTTCAAAAAGGAGGAATTCAGATCAAATCATTGCAGTTCCACTTTATRTAGACCCCAACTGAATGATTTAAATGTGAAAAAGAAGGATTTAAACTCATCGTTCCAACTGATGAGAGCGGGGCATCAGATTCTTCAACCATTTGAACATTTGGTGGATCTGCTTCCACACCTGGAAGCCCATTCATCCTACAAAAACACATTCCCACCAATCTGCCAACCATATCAGACACACACCAACTGTTATTTAAAAATATGGTCTTTGTGTGAGACTCCTGGGAAGAGGGAGACCTCAGGCAGGATGTAGCTCTGGGAGTTACAGATGAACAGCATTTCTGCAGGCAAAATGCCTTAATGTGCGTGTTTATGTGGTTCCCTGATGGTGTTCAAGAAGCTTTAAATATAAAAGACTGGTTTGATTTGGATGTAATTCGGCACACATGCAGACCAGTGATGAGGATGTAAACTATTTGATTTATACAGATGTGTCATAAATTTTTTTAACTCCACATTCCTGACCGTAAATACATTAGCATGATGGTGATAAAATTCACTGACCTGAGATTCTGATATGGCGACGGTGTGTTTAAAGACGATCCATTCGACCAGTTCAGAGCAGGGAGGAGACGTCAGCGAGCCGTTGTAGATGTAATATTTATCTGTGATGTTTGGCAGCAGCGAGCGCAGCATGAAGGCTTCAACTGACCCACTCTTACCTGATAAACACAAGAAAAGGGGGGAAAGCTCAATGTTACCTCCGCCAAGGAGGTAATGTTTTCGGTCGCGTATTTCTGTCTGTCCGTCTGTCTGTCRGGCTGTCGGTCTGTCATTCTGTCTGTGGACAACATTGCTCAAAACTTGTGGACAGATTGTCAAGACATTTACAACACTTGTGGATACTGGCACAAGTAACACACCATTAAATTTTGGTGATGTTCTGGATCACGATGCAGATACAGGAATTTTTTTTTTTCTTTTAATCCTCTCAGTTCGGCAAAGCTGTGATGCTTTCACAGGGCTTCTGTAAAAAACTGTGACAGCTTTCAGTGTTTGGACTTCAAATTTTATAGAAGTAATGTTAAAACCAGATGTAATGATTAATAATCCTTGACATAATGCACGCATTTTTACGCATTTGGTGCGCATTTTGAGAACGTTTTGTGACCACGAAGTGCAGCATGAAACCTATTTTTCCCATCTCCTCAAACACACCACATTGTCGGTAGGCTTGTACACAGATCGATGAAGATTGCGGAAAAGGAGTGACGTGGTGGACTTCAGACTCAGAGATTGTTTGTTTGTTCATTTTTATTATTATTATTTAAATGAGGCCAGATCAAGTCGAGAGCTATTTGTGTGCCCCTCTATCCACCTCTCGCCAAACTTTGGGGAAAAAAGAATGCGCAGAGCGTGGTTGTGACCACTGTGTGTGTTCCTCACAAAGATAGGAAGACTCTTGTGCGTCTGTGTGATTACACGCGCGATGAAAACTCTGCTTTTTTGAATCACGTAGCACCGATGCGAAAGCTTTCAACAATAACGTCGGGTGACAAGTCTGACTTTTTTTCTTCACATTGGAATCCACCAGGAAGAAATTCTATGCATACTGCCTGCTTAAATGTTCGCTACGTCAGAACTTATTCAGCAAATGTGTTTCCATCTCTGCCTTTAGTGCATTAACTCTATCTATTACAGGATGGGGGAAATTGGACTTGGTGGAGGTTTGCACTCTCCGAGTGCTTCTAGTTTTATTTAAGTTTTTCTCCAAGAATTGTCACAGATATAAACCAAATCTCTTCAAATTTTYATCTCAATTACAAGACATTATACTGAGTTTCATTGGTGTCTTATTGACAAGACTTACTGTATATTTGCCAAATCAAATTAAAAAAATCCAAGTTCTAAAATTAAAGGCTTATTAGTCCAACATTTGTGACAATGTTCATAAAGAGTGATTTAGCATTGACTTACCAAACCTGCTGACCGTCTCTATGGCTTCCTGAACAGGAATGAAGTTCTCATTGTCGTCCAAGCTAACCTGCAGACAACAGAAAGATATAACATCGATTTTAATCAAGGAAAAACAAACTAATACTGTCATCTCACCTCAAAGAGTACTGTCAGGGCAGCGACTTTCCCTCCTTCTTTAATCGCATCATCTAGACTTTGGAAATCATCAGGATTGAAGCAATAGATCTGCATCTAAAGTGACAGAGAACCAAACAAGTAGTTGTTATTCAGAATTTACAGGTAAACAGGCATTTRTTAGTTGGGTGTTTTACATATCAGCACATAATAAGCTGATCAGGTCTTTACCGGGTTAGACTATCTAAATCTACCAAAATGGAAAATAAGAGTGAAACTCTAGGCCCACAGCRCAGTAATAACTCAGTATTTATGTGAATTTATCAGTCTCTCACATCACTGTTGAAAAATGTCCCATTCTTCTTTACAACGGTGCTTCAGCTCATTGAGGGTCTGGGAACTTTTGTTTCTGTACAGCTCTCTAATCCCTCCTTGGTTCCAAATGACCCAATGAGGTCTAAGTTAACCAGGGGTTCATTGAGGGGCAGMAGGTTAAGGTCCCACAACAGCCACACCACATTTTAATCAGATTGAGGTCTGAACTTTAASTGAACCATTGCACACCTCATCTGTTTCATCTGTTCTGTTGTAAATTTGCTGCTGGGTTTGGGATCGTTGTTATACTTTATGACCCAGTCGGGTCCAGGCTTCATGTGTCAGAAAGGTGGCTTTACATTTGACTCCAGGATTCTTTAGTTAATTGGCTCCTAAAGTTAAGGTCAGGACCCAACTACGGATCATAAATCATCAAGTGACGGTTCACGAGATGATTTCCAGAAATTAATTTAAATATAAAGAAAAATGCCAAAGAAAAACTACCATATTATTATAAAATAATTACAATAACTACAAACTCATAAAAGTACAATCATGGTTATTAAGGTTGTTAGTACTATAATTATGAGCTTGTTTAAAAGGGTTAATATGTATACATACAGTGTCAAACTGTTCTTTTACCTCCAGGGGGTGTTTAATCCCATTCAGGCTGTGTTCAGACCCAGCAGATGTTGCGTTGCAGCGCCCCCAGTGGAAGTTGAGGCTGGCAACACGAAACCTGGAGCTTAGTCCTCCTCCGCTCACAAAAAACTCCCCATCCACATTTATGGTCACTAAAATGTGGCCAAAAACACAATTTAAACAAAAAATAAACAAATATGAGGATGGTCTGAGCATCAGGCATCAGATTCTTCAATCATCTAAACAGTTTGTGATTCTGCTTTATTCACCACCAAATACTGCATCTCTTAATTTATCAGTACACCCAGTATGTTTCTTAATTTTTTTTTTTTGGAATACACAATTTTTTCAAGACTTGTTTTTAAAGTAATTCCCTATATTTAAAAAAGGATAATCTCAAATACCTGGAAATCCATTAATCCTATAAATCACACACATTCCTACCAATCTGCCAGTAGAAGTGGGTGGATCGACACTAATACTGATAATATCGATACMAACGCTGGTATTGATATTGAACAATACTCGTGTTAAAAGATCAATACTCAAGCTTTGTTCTTTCCCGCACACACTGACTGCTGCACACGCGGATTTTTCAAAGTCTACAAAATCTGCACTGTGTCACACACAGCACGGAGCAGCGCACCCCTCGCCCCTCTCGTCTTTTGTTGTTGCACCGTCACGTGGCTCAGCAGCGCTAGCCAAACAGCTAAGCTACGCAGGTAGGCTCAACCTGGCCCACCCACTCATCATTCTCACCGAGTAGGCATGTCACAGACTGTATGAAGAGAGRCAYTGGATTATCCAAATGTCTGAGAGGAAGAGAAGCACTGTTTGGCTTTATTTTAATGCAGAAAATGAAACTACGGCAAGCCGTACAATTTGCAACAGGCCTGTTAATACAACAAGCTTTAATTATCCCACAGCAGGGACATTTACAGAATTAAAGCAACAGGCAAGTGCACACAGTGCAAACAAAATTACATAAGGATTGAAAGATATACAGTAATATCATAAGAGGTGGCCAATATAAAACATGAAAAGAACAATTTAACTACAAGGAATATTTACGCAACCATACAA